GGCCCCAGCCCTCTGGCTGTGAAACTGACATCTGCACCTCCCGCCCCCACCTAGAAATTAAACACTGGAGAGAAAGGGGACGGGGGCTCCCCCGCACTGAATGGGGGGACCCTGCCCATCCAGCCCCTCCGCCCCAGGGCAGGGAGCTGGGGATCCCAGCTGAATCTATAGCCTGCCCTCAACTGTCACTCCTGCCCAAGGGGGAGGGCTCAGCTCATGGCCCCACCCCCAGTGAGGAGGGCTCAGCCCGCAGTTCCCGCGCCCCCAGGGGGAGGGGCTCAGCCCGCAGTTCCCGCGCCCCCAGGGGGAGGGGCTCAGCCCGCAGTTCCCGCGCCCCCAGGGGGAGGGGCTCAGCCCGCAGTTCCCGCGCCCCCAGGGGGAGGGGCTCAGCCCGCAGTTCCCGCGCCCCCAGGGGGAGGGGCTCAGCCCGCAGTTCCCGCGCCCCCAGGGGGAGGGGCTCAGCCCGCAGTTCCCGCGCCCCCAGGGGGAGGGGCTCAGCCCGCAGTTCCCGCGCCCCCAGGGGGAGGGGCTCAGCCCGCAGTTCCCGCGCCCCCAGGGGGAGGGGCTCAGCCCGCAGTTCCCGCGCCCCCAGGGGGAGGGGCTCAGCCCGCAGTTCCCGCGCCCCCAGGGGGAGGGGCTCAGCCCGCAGTTCCCGCGCCCCCAGGGGGAGGGGCTCAGCCCGCAGTTCCCGCGCCCCCAGGGGGAGGGGCTCAGCCCGCAGTTCCCGCGCCCCCAGGGGGAGGGGCTCAGCCCGCAGTTCCCGCGCCCCCAGGGGGAGGGGCTCAGCCCGCAGTTCCCGCGCCCCCAGGGGGAGGGGCTCAGCCCGCAGTTCCCGCGCCCCCAGGGGGAGGGGCTCAGCCCGCAGTTCCCGCGCCCCCAGGGGGAGGGGCTCAGCCCGCAGTTCCCGCGCCCCCAGGGGGAGGGGCTCAGCCCGCAGTTCCCGCGCCCCCAGGGGGAGGGGCTCAGCCCGCAGTTCCCGCGCCCCCAGGGGGAGGGGCTCAGCCCGCAGTTCCCGCGCCCCCAGGGGGAGGGGCTCAGCCCGCAGTTCCCGCGCCCCCAGGGGGAGGGGCTCAGCCCGCAGTTCCCGCGCCCCCAGGGGGAGGGGCTCAGCCCGCAGTTCCCGCGCCCCCAGGGGGAGGGGCTCAGCCCGCAGTTCCCGCGCCCCCAGGGGGAGGGGCTCAGCCCGCAGTTCCCGCGCCCCCAGGGGGAGGGGCTCAGCCCGCAGTTCCCGCGCCCCCAGGGGGAGGGGCTCAGCCCGCAGTTCCCGCGCCCCCAGGGGGAGGGGCTCAGCCCGCAGTTCCCGCGCCCCCAGGGGGAGGGGCTCAGCCCGCAGTTCCCGCGCCCCCAGGGGGAGGGGCTCAGCCCGCAGTTCCCGCGCCCCCAGGGGGAGGGGCTCAGCCCGCAGTTCCCGCGCCCCCAGGGGGAGGGGCTCAGCCCGCAGTTCCCGCGCCCCCAGGGGGAGGGGCTCAGCCCGCAGTTCCCGCGCCCCCAGGGGGAGGGGCTCAGCCCGCAGTTCCCGCGCCCCCAGGGGGAGGGGCTCAGCCCGCAGTTCCCGCGCCCCCAGGGGGAGGGGCTGCCTGGAATTGCCCCCCTCAAAAGAGACTGAGGCTTGCCCACCCCTAGCTGGGACAAGAACCCAGGAGTCTGGGGCCCTACCCATGCCCTGATCTCACCACTAGACCCCACTCCCCACCCAGTCCCGGCTGCCATCCCTTCTGGGCTGGCCGACTACAAGCCAGGAGCACAGGGTGCTGCATGGGGAGTGGGGAGAGCAGCAGTATGGTGTGTGTGGGGGGGGAGATCAGCTGGGCTCTGTGTGGGATGACATTATGGGGGGGGCACCCGTGGCCTCCGGCTCACCCACTCACCGATCTCGGTGGCACAGCTCACCAGCCAGCGCACCATCTCCCGCCCGCGCCAGGGCCCCCACCTGGGGGGGGGGGGGAGGGAAGAGAGGACAACTTGTCATATTCCACAGAGGGGGAAACTGAGGCACGCCAGGGGACGGGCCCAAGGTATCCCAGTGAAATAAGGTAGAGGCGAGAGCAGGAGTCCTGACCCTCATTCGACTTCATATTCCACAGAGGGGGAAACTGAGGCACGCCAGGGGACGGGCCCAAGGTATCCCAGTGAAATAAGGTAGAGGCGAGAGCAGGAGTCCTGACCCTCATTCGACTGCTGCTCGACCCACTAGATGCCTCCCGCTTCCCACCGGGCGCTGTTCCGCAGCCAAGGGTGTCCGGGGGAGCGCTGGCCGGCGTCGCCGTCTTACAGGCGTCCTGGGCCAGCTTGAAGAGCAGGGCGGGGGAGTGGATGTTCTCCTGGATGGACCCCAGGACCGTGTGCAGCCACACGGGGTCTCCTAGAGCAGGGATTGCGGCAGGAATTAGCCCGAGGGGGAAGGGATTAGCCACAGGGAAGAGGTTCCGCAAAGCTGCAGAACTAGGAAATGGGGGGAGGAGCGTGAGCCCCAACAGGCCTGGTTCCCATGGGGGGTTAGTGCCTGCAGCTCCCAGCATCCAGCAGGGCCTAGCTCCTGAGCCTCAGGGAGGGGCAACAAGGACTTTCCCCTCCAGGGGGCGCCAGGTCCCATGGGACTGCCTGGCTCAGGGGGCAGGGATGGGACACGGAGCTTCCTCTCTCTAGGGGGCACCAGCTCCCCTCCACCACCAGGCCAGGATCTCTGGTCTTCCCCCCTGCCAGGGGGGCAGGGTGACCCTGCCTGGCCCAGATCAAGCTGGTGGTCCACAGCACGGGCCGTGCGAGTGACATGACCAGGGCCGTGGCTCAGAGGCGGAGGAGGAGCAGATCCCCAGCGAGCCCCCTGCCCCGCTGGGGTGTCCCGGCGCGTTCACCTTTGGCTGCGGTGAGCATGGCGGATGCCAGCTCGCACTGACGCGTCTCCACGTGGCCCAGGATGAACCAGCGGGGGAAGCGGTTGGCCAGCATGGAGTCCAGCAGGTTCTGGTGCAGGACATCCCTGGCGGCCGTCACCGTCTCCAGCACTGGCAGCCTGGGGGGGAGGGAAGAGGGGGAAGCTGGTGAGGGGAGCCGTCCCCTC